ATTACCCTCAACTCTCAACCCCTCTTCGTCCCCTTCTTTCTTTCTCTTTCTTTCTTTCCTACCCAGATCGGCTGGGTTCGTCGAAACCCAACCTTGCTGGTTGCTCGAACCCAACCTTGTTGCGTTTGTCAAAACTCAGTTACTAGTTTCATTAAAGCCACTGAGTTCATCAAGCCAATAGATCTCATCAAATAAAATTAACCCTTCATAAACAATATCATTCAAACTCTAATCCAATTCCAAGAAAAATGCAATCAAACTCTAATCCATAAGAAAAATGCAATCAAATTGTAAATCAACTTTTAAATTTATCAAGAACCGAAAATGAAAAAACATGAACTCAACGTCGAACCAGCATGGCTGGGTTGGTCGAAACCCAGCCTTGCTAGTTTCGTCGAGCTTGGGTTGGTCAAACCTAGCCTTGCTGGTTGCGCGAACCCAGCAGCTGGGTTTCGACGAACCTTGCTCGCGCGACCAGCAGGGCTGGGTTCACATGACCAGCAGGGCCGGATTTGCGCAACCAAGACCAACAAGACTAGGTTCGTGCAACCAGAACCAGCAAGCGAAAACAGCAAGGAGATCGGATTTCAGCAAGCGAGAAACATTGGATCGGATGAAATGATCGAGACGGACAGGATTGGATCGATCGGAGCGGATTTCATGTTTGTGTTATGAGAAAGAGTTACGGAAAAGGAAGGTAATCAGCGGCAGCGGCAGCGAAACCCAATCGATCTGGGTAGGAAAGAAACAAAGAGAAAGAAAGAAAGGGAAGAAGAGGGATTGGGAGGTGAGGGTCATATTGTCATTTTATTTTTTAAAAATTAAAAAAAATATTATTATAATATTATAATATTATAATAAATATTTATTATAAAAAATTAAAATATTCTATTTTTAAAATATAAATTAAAGTTTTTTTTTCTCTGAATTTTTTAGAGATAAACAAATATACACTAACTTCTATATATATATGTATATTTTTTTTTAATGGATTAAAATGAGTTGAAAAGTGAAATTTGAGCTTCAACCTTAAAATTGGATGTGCACTTTATGAAGAAATATATAATTATCAAATTACGAGACCTAAGTATTTGAGGATAAATTTTTTTTAAAACGGGACAATGGCTTCAATCCATAAGTTATAGTTTGAGAAAAGTAAATGAGAGAATGAATTCATTTTGATAGATTAAAATACATATAGTAAAAGAAAAAAATAATAAAATATGATAAAAGTATCTATCAACCTTACCTTCTAAAGATTAAGAGAAAAATCATTCTAAAATTACGTCGTTTCAATAAATTTTTATTCAAAAAGACTAAACTATCATAATTTTTAAGTATGCATTAAGGTGATTTTTGTTTTTTTTTTTCTTAATTTTTTTGAGGTAAGGTGGACAAGTACTAACCCCATAAAATATTTATGTATTGTTTAAAAAAATAATAATTGATTTTGATTGGAGCTACAGTTTAATGTACTCCTAACATTTTATTTATTTATTTATTTTTTTAATCAGTTATTAAAGAGCAAAATTGATAGAATCAAAAGAAGATAAATAAAAGAGTAAAATGTATATTACTCTCTACAT